AAGGCTGAATTTTTGGTTGATTCGTATTTGAGACCATGCTTGATAAAGTATCTATTTTCATTGTGAAAATAGCTTAAAATCTGAGAAAAATCTATAATTTCTTATACAACTAAATTCTTTATAAAGCTTCGAATGATACTAGCACAATCACCAAATTTTTGTTTTAATTCATATTAAGTCTTTTTTTGCCCTGCAGCTGTAGAATTTGTTAGTTCAATAAGTATTTCTATTTTATCAGAATAATTTCTACTTGTGGAAGCAGCATCTTTGGAAATGAGTCTTTCAAGAGTATCTCTAGAACTAAGTATTTTTAAACATCTTGTAACTGAAGAATCTTATTTTGGTATTTACTAATAGTCTGTTGGGACGAAGAGATTTCATTATCAAGGATTTGTAGTCATTCTTCTAATGAATGCATTCTAATATTCAAATTTCTAATAACTTTGGTCATAGTTTCACAACTATAGCAAAGTTGTATCGATGAGGATAAAGATGATGCTTGAGAAGTAGTGGTTTGCATAGTATGTCTAACTCTTTCAGATATATAAAAATTAAGTTCTATAATTTCTCTACAGAAATTTAAAGCTTACTCAAGTGTATAAAATTCTTTGAAAAGGGGTTAAGAAATTTTTCGACTTGTAGTACTTCTGGCCGATAATTGTATATACCAGATTTTCTACCTTTAATTACTGCAAAGAAACTAAAATTTCTGTTTTCTACTTGATTATGAATCTGTCTAAAATGATTAATTAAGGCATTAGTGCTGTCTAATTTTTGTTTAGAGTTACAAGCCATCCAAAGATTATTTAGTAGATGTTCTTTTTTTGGTAGTCTTTCTAAATTATTTCTTCTAAATCGAAGATTAGATCCTTGTGGAGCCACTCTTAGAGTGACATTTCCAAAGTTATCATTTTTTGATCCATCTGAATCATGAAGATAATGAATTAGAAAATTAATAACTTGCTTACTTAAATTTTCAGCTAAAATATTATTTTCATCTATATGTTCTATATTAATGTGATAACTATTTAGTATCTCATATAATTTTAACCATCTTATATGTCTTATCTTGTCAAAATTTGTCTTTTTAATAAATTTTACTAGAGCCTTACAATTTGTTCTTATTGTAAATTCATTGTTTAAAAATAATTTAAGGCTTTTTATACTATGTATGATGGCTATTATTTCATAATCTAAGCTAGTTAAACAATTTTATTTTATTTTATATTTTCCGCTAGCATATCTACATTTCTTTTCTTCTTTTTTATTACTATATTTATTTGGTTTGGAATATAAAATTTCTCCCTATCCTAATTCACATCTATCTATTTCTATTATTTTATACTCACTATCTAATGTTAAATTGTTGACTTCTTCTTTTATTCTTTTAACGAGTTCTATATTTGATTGATTAAAATATTTTGTCCTTTACTGGACAATTTACTATACCATGGTCCTAATTTCTTTTTCAAGTCTTTAATAAAATGTCTAACATAATTTAATATTCCTAAAAAAAGCTTGTAATTTTTTAGTTTCTTCAATTTTGCCTGGAAATAGTAAAATTGTTTGTAATATGTGTGGTTGCAATTGGATCTTTCCTTCTTCTAGAATTATTTCTAAAAAATTATTTTTTGGCTTATTTATTTTCTTTTTCTTTTTACTTATAATTAAATCATTTTTTATGAACTTATTCAAAGTTATCTTTAGATGCTTCATATGTTTTTTATGATCTTTACTATGTACTAAAATATTATCTATATATACACAAACAAATGGAAAAGAATTAAATATGCAATCCATCTTTCTTTGAAAAATAGAAGGTATATTTTTTAATCCAAAAAACATAACTAACCATTCAAAATATTTTAATAGAGTAGTAAAAGCTGCCCATGGAATGGTCTCTTTTGCCATTTTTATTTGCCAAGATCCAGATTTACAATTAAATATAGAAAATATCTTACTATCTTGTATTTTATTTATTAACATATCTTTATCATGTATTTTATATCCATCTTCTATGGTATTGTCATTTAATCTTTTGTAGTTTATGACCATTCTTGCTTTTCCTCTTTTAATTTCACTAAGATTTTTATTCATAAAGACTACTGATCTATGTTAGCTACTAGATGATCTCATTACTTTTAAACCTAATAACTCTTTAATTTGTATATTAAAATCTTCTATATCTTGATTTGTATATTTTATTTCTGCTGTTCTAATTTTTTTATTTTCATTTATGATTTCTAATTTAGCTTCTATTTTATTTTTATTCCTATAGCGACTTCATTATTATCCTTCATTCGTACTATTAATAGCATGGTATTGCATGTATTGTGTCTTTATCATTCAATATAAAACATATAGATGCCACAGTTCTTACTTATTACTTTATACTCATTTGTCTTATCAAGTAAATGTCTTCAGCTGATGACATACACCAAAGGATCTCATCTCGATTATGTCAGTAAACTCATATATGATTGATTACTATGCAAAAATATTAGGACATATGACTGAACCTTGTGACTGCTCCATCATACAGGTCGTTAATAACATTGGTGTATCTAATAGATAATTAATAACATTGTTGTATATAATGTTCATTTTTTCTCTAGCACCTGGCATAGCACTTTACTAGGCATCTTATTGTGGGCTTGTTTCTTTTTCTTTCTTTTATTTAAAAAATAAAAAATAAAATAAAACCTTGTCATTAATCTCTTATTCAAGTGAATGGCTTCCATTGTAAATCTTCCTAACATAAAAACCTTTTTGTTTTAATAAACTGGTGAATAAGAACTCAATTGATGGTTTATTCATGCTTTTCTGTCATCCTCTTCTATTTCTTGTGCTGTGGAGGAAAACAGGGGTATCATTGGCTTGCCTTCTCAATTAACAAGGACTAAATATCTAATTCATTTTCAATTAACCTAACTCTAATCAAATAACAAAATTACATATATGGTTTGTATTAACAACCTAAATCTATAGCTAACCTAAGTGATCTAACTATTAAGTGGTAGGAAGCGTTTATGAATACTCATTAAATTACAAAAGCACTAGGATCCCAAATCCTTCCGTTCATCAATCTAAATATTAATTCCATAATTTGATGACATTTATTTGGATATGAAGATCAATGTTCATATCTTTTTTAATAATCTTTCTCAAGTAGAATCAAACATATCCTCACATATGACCCATTAATATCTATATTTCGAATGCGAATATATGAAGATGCATTAATCACAAGAACAATCGATTAGATCATGCAAAGCATAGTCATTTATCGCCAACATATGGAGAAACTTACAGTTATTGCTACTTGTGCTAAGTTCAAACATATCTTCACATATGACCCATTAATATCTATATTTCGAATGCGAATATATGAAGATGCATTAATCACAAGAACAATCGATTAGATCATGCAAAGCATGGTCATTTATCGCCAACATATGGAGAAACTTACAGTTATTGCTACTTGTGCTAAGTTTCTATTCATTCTTCCGCTTGCCAATAGAAATTATTCATTAATACAATTAGTTGCCAATTACTTGAAAAGAATTAAACTCCTAAGAATCATTCAAATCAAACCAACATTTAAAGTGTCAAAATCCAAAATTTAATATCAAAACATAGGGTTCAACATTATCCTAGCATCTGTAAAACTAGTCGAGCATCGTAATAATACAGAAACACGATTTAGAGCGATACATCATCACCTGAAATTAAAGGTTGGGAAGAAATATGCAAAACACTCTTGAATCTTGAATTCATTCAACGGTTCTTGAATTGTCTCCGTGATATCTTCTTTTTCTTCGACTCCAAACAATAATGTGTGAATTGATGTAGAGTTGATGTTTTGTATCACAAGCTTCTTTAAAGCTTGAAGGAATATCTCAATTTTGGGAACAAAATCTTCTGGGAATTTTATCCATGAGATTGCAAGGTAAGGATACCTGCAATTGCACATGCTTAGCTTTTTGCCTGCATGAACTGATCCATCTTGGAGTTCTGCAGGTCTTGCAATCGTAATGGGACACTGCTTGCGATAGCAAGGAATAGAATGTTTTCTTGCTTACAACTTGCTCTCTAAATTTTCTCTTTTGTTCAGCTCTGGTCCCTTCTTATTTGCATCTTGGGTACTTCATCTTTAAACCATTGTACTTCAATCAACATCATTTCACAATCGTCCGTAACTGATCCAATGCAAGTTTCAAGAGTTTGCAATTTAGTCTTTAAACTTTTTCAAACGATGGATTTAGCTCCCGACACTTGTGAATCTCTTCCAATTGCTCCATTAATGCTTCCAATTGATCATATGCAATTAGATTGATCTTCAATTGAACCGAATGAACTCTTATCCCCACACCAATTGCATTATAATGCATTTTATTTCGGGGATGTACCCTTATACCTATAATATTAACATAATTAACCTATATTAGATAGATTTTCTCTCAATTAGTAATAAATAATCGCATTTTATGTCGGGGATGTACCCTTATACCTATAATATTAACATAATTAACCTATATTAGATAGATTTTCACTCAATTAGTAATAAATAATCGAGCATAGAAGTCCAAATAAGTGTATATATTACACTGAGTATTGCACAATTAACTTTTTAGTCATGATAGTTGAGTGTTGAGAACCACTAAGTAGGTATGGGATGTTATAGGTCGTATAGGTGTAATTTTTTTCAATCATTCTCTTTCTTTAGAGCTACTAATTTTCTCAATACATTGTGTCATCTCAACCTAGAAACTTTTTGTTACTAGCTTAATTGGAAATTTATAACTGCCCTCATCAACTTGTTAATTTGAATTTATGGGTTCGACGCAAAAGCCATAGGTGGTGGTTATCATTTAAGCACAAGAATAATGCATGCATCTAGATGAACTAATACACTACACTTCATGTATGAAAAGGAGGAAGAAAATGTTCTTTACTACATGGTGTTAAGTTGCTCATCTTTCTTTCTTTTCAAATCTTAGGTGATGGAGAACTGAGTGTGAAATTAAACTTCAAGGCTCGTGCCTTGTCGACTGCAGCAAAGGAGAAGCTTGAGGCTGCAGGTTGTTCCTTGACTGCTCTTCCCGGTCGAAAGAAGTGGGTGAAGCTATCCGTCGTAAAGAACCTTGCATGTGCTGAAGAATACTTTGCCAAAAATAGGGCTGCAACGGACTCATCCGTCTCCCCTTCTGCTTAAAGCCCAAACTTGTGTGGAATTGTCACTTATGAGAGAGGTAGAGCAATATTCAATGAATTTGGGGAACCTTTTATTCCATTCAGAATATTTGTTTCTTTCTTTGGTGCTTTTCATTAAATCAATTGAGAATTTATTTATTCAAATTGTGGTATTGGCATTTTGCGACTTTTCAATTCTCGAGAGGCAGTTGATAGTCAGCAGAATTTCGACGTCGTTAAGGCCAGTTTTCGATTATCAAAAAATCTCTAAAGTTTTAGGGAATTGGTAAATTTTGAAAAGAGTGATTACGGAATAATATATATAATCTACTAACCTCAGATTTTGAGAAGTAACAACAATGTTATTTATCAAATGGGTAAATTGTATTTAAAACACAATTTTTATTTTTTGCACCACATTTTAATTAAACCTAAGTCTCTGAGTCTTTATTCATTATAACATTTATGCTCTTAACAATTTCTATGTCATTTTTATACTCAAAATTTTTATTAGTTAACATATTTTATATTTGATCTTAGTTTATGTCCAAAAAGTTCATTGAAACACTGTATAACAACTTATTTTTCTATCATAGTTTAAGAAAACAATTAAATAAAAAAAATATGAAAAATATTTTAGCATAAATCATTATTAAGAACGAGATGTACTAATTAATGGAAGACCGAAGATAAGAAATTGACCAAAAAATTAAATAAATAATTCTTACAATGAGTAAAGATTGAAAAGCTTAACTATAATTAAAATGTGGTGTAAGAAATAAAAATTGTTGGGGGCAATATAATGATCCTTATTCTGCTTTTACTTTTCCATTTGTTCATTATTAAAAGACCAATTTTAACCTAATTAGTAAAGTAATGCCTTTTATGTCCTGAGTTTATTAGTATTCAATAAATCATCTTCCATTTCGCAATCCACATTAAAATTAAATTAGGCTTATTTGATATTTTTCCTATTACACGAATGTGGTTATATTGAGAAACCTTCCTAAACCAAGTTTGATGCATTACAGATAATAGATTTATTTGAATTTTTTAACTATAGGGATTATGCTTTTATTTTATAATTGAATAAATTTTGAGATTTAATAGATGATATTTTATAATTTAATTATTGTAAGAACATTGCCTTAAAAATATTTGATATATTACTTATTATTATAAAAATAAATAAATTTTACATTACTAATAATATTAATAATTATACTTCATGTTCATTTTAGTAATTATACATAAGCACAACAACAAATCACTTTTGCTTATAGAATACTCCAATGTTGATTACGAAATAGATAACAATTTTGAAAGGCAAAGGGACAGGATCAAGGTAGCTCAATCTCGATCAATTGAGATTTTCACTACGTGAGATGCTGTCAGGATAGGACAAGATTAACATATCACAATTTTCCGTCACATTTCTCTATTTACTTATTTCTTTTTTCAATTTGATTTAATTTAAACTATAAATAATGGTAAAATGATTATAAAAAATAAGAATCGAGGTGGAAACTAGGTTTCCCATCCCATCTCATCTCCATCCCTTGGGATGGGACACTAAAGTTGAAAAGGAATATTTTGCCATCTCAGTGTGACTATTGGTGGGAAAGGAATTTGACATGGAAATTTTCTTTTCATCTGGTAATGATTTGGACACACAGTACACCAACGCCATTGAATTGGAAATGACATGCTTTCATAATTCGTCCGTTTGCTCCCGTGATTTGGGGTAAATTATGAAAAAAAATCTGATGTGAAATAAAGCCCTGTTTGAACCCCACCTTAATGAGAAGAAAAAAAAAAGTATTTTGAAAATTTTTAGCTAAAAAATAAAAAAAAAAATTGATTTACGTGTAATATTATTTTATTGAAGAATGCAATTGAAAATAACTTTAGATTACTATTATTATTATTATTATTATTATTATTTGAATAAAATGGGGCTCAAATAAAATAAAAGAGAAAGAAAGCATAGGTCAAAAAGCAGTCGTGGAAAATATAGAAAATATATCAACCATAATACAGGTCAAAATTGATTCTACTTTCCTTTAAAAAATTATGAAGAAATTTGTAATCTTCAAATGGAATTATTGAACTGTAGAAATAAAAATAAAGTCATTTTAGATTTAAAGCGAGAAAGCTATTTTTACGTGTGGACCATGTGGGTTGCATTAATTTGTACGTCAAAAGGTAGTTGCTAAAGGAACGTATTTGGGTGTGGAATGTGTGAAAGACTTGGACCACAATGGTATTTGGGCACCAATGATAGATAGAGAACAAAAAGAGAGAGAGAGAGAGAGAGAGAGAGTAAATTTGCATTATCTTCAAATGACAATAAGTGTGAAGTTTTATAATAGTAGAAGATGAATAGTTATCATTAGATGAAAATACTCGTAGTCTAATCCTGATTATCGAGGTGTCTTCTTCTTGACGTTACTCCATTAATTCGATGTTCATGGGCTTTTAATGTTTCTAAAAACTAGACACTTTATAGTCTAAGTCTAATATTTGAAAAGTAGACTGAGTTGACTGTTAAGCGTTTGTTATAAAGATATCACATCAATTAATCGTAAAAAAATTATGTATGAAAGATCTCATGGGATAGGTTGTGGGATATGTCTTCTATAATTAGGAGTTAATCGCCTCAAATTTACTCAGCAACAGGTTGTACCACCTTGCCTAAGCTATGGAGGGTTAGCCTCTCATGGCACCTCGACTAAGGTGATGCATCGCTTTGGCTACCTCAACATACGGTCTTGACTAGGTAGGTAGGATGATGATGTGGAGTGTGGGTCTAATTGAGTTTGCTAGATGGTTGCCGCGTGTTCGATATTTGAAGCCTCGTCAAAGGAGGCATACTAGAACAAATATCAACATTCTAGAAAATCGTGTCAGGATATGAGTTCAAAATGGTAAAATAGAGAGGCTCAATTTATATTCGAAGGTGAAAATATGTAGTATAATCGGGTCCATAAACCCAACATATAATCCATGTATCCCAAACACTACATTAAGATAGGACCAAAAGAAAAGGAAAAATGATGAATTAGGTGCTGGATAAAGTGGACAATTATAGAGAGGTTGAGACAATTATAGAGAAGTTGAGGGGGGTAGCGGGGATGAAAATAAAGAAAGTGGACAAGAAGTTATAGGAACTTGAAGGATATAAAATGAGATGGTGGTAAGTAAGAAATCAATCACCTTTTTTACACCTGAACAGGTTGAATCAAATTACCTTATATTATCATTTGATTACTAATTTAAGCATCACAAGGAGAACGAATGCAAAGAAGAATTGAAGAACGAGAGTGGGGCTTTTCCTCAGTAATGTTTAGACATTGCTATGTGGCTCAAAACGTAATGATAGGAAGAGAATGACGTGTTCCTAGATTGAATGATGAGATGGGAATATGGAAGAGCCACCACTTGAGGATGCAACGATTTTTAACTTGGGACAAGTAAACTAGATGATTTCTCGGGTGCTATGAACATGTTGAATGTAGCTCTTTCATTTTTCACCCTTAAGATAAGCTTACATTTCTCTATATCAATTAAGGTCCAACTAGTTGTAAAGAATGTTCAACCCAATATCATCATTATATACCGATCTTCAATGTGTAACATAATGCAATCTATCGAAAATATAAACTTTTTCACTTTTATAAACATGTCCTCCAACACAAACAAATGGTATTTAATTGATCTATCAGCCAATTAAAGTGATTTCTAGTTGCTTTATCTCCCCAAACCAAGCCTGATATAAATAAACAAAGGCCTCAAGTTAATGCTAGCATTAAGATCACACAAACTATTAAAATTGAAAGATTCGCTATTAGTGTAAGATATTATGAAACTCACCGAATCTTTTAGTTTTAGAAGAGCTTGTTTTGCAAGATAGCATTATATTCTTCTTTTAGGGGGTGTATTCAATTAAAACTTTTGCAAACTTTGATGAACTTTTTTTAAGTGATGACTTAGGTGGATTTCGTGAATTTTTTTTATAGATTGTATAGAATTAGTGGAAGTCCTACGTAGATTTCTATAGACTTTCATTTTAAAATTTTTTATAGATTTTTGTAGAATTCAAAAAACTTTCATTTCAAAAAGAATTTATGTGAATTTAGTACAATAGCGTGAAATTATCACATACAAGGTATTGGTTCCCATAATTCCACTTTTCCTTTTCCTTCTTCTTCTCATATAATTAAAAAAAAAAGAATAAAAATTTAAGGCCATAATTAAATAAATAATAATCAAAATTATACATATATATGATAAACAATAAGTTTAATATTCAATATTATTAATATATTATACTTTTAAAAATAAACAATAAATAAAAACCAATATATTTAAATTTAATTATAAATTTTTCATATAAAATTATATAATTTAATAAAAAATAGATATTTTTCACCAAAAAAAATGAATGAAAAAAGAAAAAAAAATGTTATAAGAATACAATAATTTTTTGGGTAATTAGCAAAAAAGTCCTTACCTTTCAACGTTATTGTGCAAAACATCCCCATATTTCATTTTTTGACATTTTTACACTTACCTTAATCTTTTATATCGCAAATTATCATTTTCAAATTTCTCATATAAAATGAAAAATATACCTCCTATTTAAATAAAACAATAAAAGGAAAAGAAACTTAAAGAATAAATTGCAATCATACTCCCAAACTTTTTTAAAAAGTGCAAATGAGTCCAAATAAATTATTAAAAGGATAATTAGCACAAAATGTCCATACCTTTCATTATTATTCTGCAAAACATCCATACCTTTCATTTTTTAACATTTTCACCCTTATTTTTATATTTCATTACAAAAATCATTATTTTCTTCCATTTTCTCAATTAAAAGTTGTAAAATAACAAATATACCCTTCTCTTTAAATAAATAAAAATAAAGAAAAGAAAAATAATAAACAAATTACAATTATACTCCCAAAATTTTCAAAAAAAAAAAGTACAAATAAATTTCAAATAAATAATTTTAAAAAAGTGATTTTTGTTTTTTAATTAATTATTTGAAATTTATTTGTACTTTTTTAAAAATTTTGAAAATATATTTGCAATTTATTCTTTTTTTTTTTTTAAAGATGAGTGTATATTTGTCATTTTATGGCTTTTAATTGAGA